TTCTAGATGTTCTAGATGTTCTATATGTTCTAGGTGTTCTAGATGTTCTATATGTTCTAGATGTTCTAGATGTTCTAGGTGTTCTATATGTTCTAGATGTTCTAGATGTTCTATATGTTCTATATGTTCTAGATGTTCTATATGTTCTAGGTGTTCTAGATGTTCACCCTCTGTTTCAAACAAGGGTTGACATGTACATGTTATACATGTGTATGATGTTTATATATATATATGTTATACATGTTCCTCCTCTGTGTTTTTATTAACAGGTTTCCTGACGTCCAGCTTCACACTCGTCGTTTCTTTAAGTGGATTTTTCTTCTGATCCGGTTTGACGTCAGATTCAAAGTGGTCCCACGTCTTTCTGCCGAAGGTAAACTACAGTTTGTGTTTTTAACCTTCACTGAGTGTTAATCATCATTTTGACTTTATGAGTTGTTTATTTCAAACGTACGATCGGATGGAGGCGGATTCTTCACCAACGTCTGCAGCCTCGGCCTGTGTGGCTCCTCGCGGCTCCTCGCGGCTCCTCGCGGCTCCTCGTATTCCAGCTAATGAGAACATGCCACCGCTCGTCCCCCAGCATCATGTCACTCCTTCAGGGGACGGTGTGGGAGGGAGAGTTTGGCTCGTACCACCTCTGTCACTCAGGGGTTTATTCATCATCACCGGGATCCTGCAGAACTTGTCAGCGTGCGCTCGGCTCGACGGCGTGAAGAATAGTTTGTTCTGTCGAGTCTTCTGTCGCCGCTGTCCCACAGCCTCCGTCCACAGCCTCCGTCCACAGCACTGAAACATCCAGGCTGCAAACATGTCCTCCGTGGAGACGTCAGGCTGAAGACAGTCGGTTAAATTCTGCCCCTCGTGTCGCAGCCTTGGATATTTTGCAGATGAGATTCGTCAGTTCTGTCCGTTGGAGTAAAAAGCCTGAGAGCCGGGGTTCAGGCTCTTATTGTTGTGGTGGATGTTTATGTGAAGCAGAAGGATTCTTGTGGAGATGAGATCGGTTGTGTCAGAAACATTGAGTTCAGTGGTTTCGTTGTGCTGCAGATAAAATAACAGGGGTTCACCCACAAACACCAGTTTCTTTCGTTCCAGCTCGTTCACATTGAAGACATCTCCATATTCAGCCTGTTCGTCTCCACGTTGCTTTTGAATTTGTGACGGAGACAGAACCTGCCGATGGTTTAATTTCTGCTTCAGATGTGTTTTTATCAGAGACGGACTCTGTCCCTCTGCTGCGACGCACATTCATCTTATTAACACGTCTCTGCTGCTAAAGGGAATTCATCAAATTCATTTCTTTTATTATTTTATGTGAAATACAATTTTTCCTTTTTCTAATTTAAATGTATTGAAATGAAATATATTTTTTACAGAAACCTGTAAATGTAATATTAATCATCATATTATGTACTTTTTTATTTTTTATCTTTTTTTATTTCCTATTCTTATTTAATATTGGACTTTCACCTGATCTTGTGCTTCCCTCTAAGTTGAACTTACATCAGCTCAAAATCATAAATATTGGAAACCACTGATTCATTCTGTATGAAAAACAAAAGTCTCGATGATGAAAGCAGCCGTGCAGTAGAAACCACATGTGCAGAAAATGTGTTGACTTTAAAAGTGACAAACTATAAATAACGTAGTATAAAGTAAGTCAAGTACGAATGGATTGTGTTTTAGTTTCTCTAAACGTCCCGTCAGGTTTTTATTTGTCATTATTCTTCTCTGACTCATGAACCCATCACCAGAACCTCACAAACCTCAGATCCTCAGCGTCTGTGTTTCCCTGAAGGTCGCCGTGACGAGGACGATGGCGCCCGCCGGTGTTTCCGCCCGGGCGCTGCTGTGGCTCAACCTGTTCGGCTTCATCTCCGTGGCGTCGTCCCTCAACCCGGACGACCCCAACGTGTGCAGCCACTGGGAGAGGTCAGTTTCTGTCTCTGGTATTCAAAGTGAAATAATTCAGCTCAAACTCTGCGGTGAACTAATGGAGTCCCCGCCGCAAATCAAGACTGAGGGGTTTGCCAATAATCAAAAGTGAAAAGGGAAAAAGGTTTAACTCCTGAGGGGACGTTCTGCAGCTGTAAATCCACAGCGATGCTGATGTGACGGCTTGATTGGCTTCAGCACTCGACGCCGAGTAAAAGCACGGCGTCATTTCTTCTGAGGTGCTGTGATCGATGATCTCTGTGTAATCAGTGGATGTGTGTTTCTATCTCTGATGATTATTACAGTTTCCACTTCTCTAGAGGTTAGAGTGTGTTCAGTAACCACACACACACACACACACACACACACACACACACGTGTTGTGACAGGAGAATCAAATCAGCAGAAATCAAAGGTTGAGTCGTCTCATGACTTTGGAAAATCCTGGAAGTTTGTAGGGAAATAAAATCAGCTCAGAAAGAATTGATCCCTGCGTCGTGTCCCAGCTTCACATCCTGTGATCGATACTTCTCATCCTGATGATTTGTTTTTAAAAGTAAACGCTATCGATTTGGTGTCTTCGTGAGAAAAGTTTACCTGTGAGAAATGTTCCGTCCTTCTGGAGAGAGTGAAATCACTTTATTGTTCTTTATCTGACGAGAAGCAAATGAAAGTGAACGCTGCTCGTCGGTGTGTTTCTGTCTCTGCAGCTACGCTGTGACTGTGCAGGAGTCGTACGCTCATCCCTTCGACCAGGTCTACTACACCCGCTGCACCGACATCCTCAACTGGTTCAAATGCACCAGACACAGGTAAAACCACTGAGATGAGTTTGTTTAACGAGCAGATGTGAGCTTTTCTTTCTCAGTGGAACCTCCTCCTCCTCTTTCTCCTCCTCCTCCTCCTCCACTCTGATTGATAACGTCCCAAACAAAGTGAATTCTAATGTTCTGCAGTGTGACGTCATCCAGGTCCAAGAACACAACCCGTGACTTCACACACGTCGAGTTAACAACAGCACTCGATGGTGAAAGACAAACTTTGTTCCTCGTCAGAATTCATCGGTTTCACTGCAGCGTCCTGAAAATCACAAGTTACGAATAAACGACCAGATAGAATCAGACACAGAGACTGAAATGTTGTTGTGACTGTTCGACAACTGGAGAAACATCAGATACAGATTCATGTTTATATATTTTCTGGACGAGAGCAATGATTGTGTTGTTTGAAAATCTGTCACAAAGTCCTGGTTGTCGCCCAGAAGGTGATTTTTAGAGGATGATTCTCCGTCTGTAGGTCGCTGCTGATATGAATTCTCAGGATTCACTCGTTGTTTTGAAAGTTTGAACCAGATGTCATGTTCCTATATATATATGATTAATAATCCATGATCGTGTTGATCTTTTGAATTCTCTGGTGTCGTGAGTCGGACTTCAGATTGAGACAGTATCTGTGAAGCTGACGGTCGGAGGCAGTCGGCCTCTGGTGTCTACTCCCTAACTCCGGCAGTTCAGCCTGATGTGGTCATTTTGATGAGCGACTGTCGGCGTATCGGCTTTAATGACCCCATTAAGCTTTATAGCCACCAGTTTAGCTCCTCCAGCTAAGAGCTGAGTCATTGATCTTAAACTGAAATGTCAGAAAACATCGGCGTCCTTGAACGAGTGGGAGAAACTATCTTAAACGTTTAAGTGGTGCTTGTCTTCTCGAGGTGGAGCGGCGTGAGCAAACCTTCACGGTGGAGTGTTGGCACATTGTCATGTATTCAGGTCACGTGTCTGCTGACGTGGACATCAATGATATCGAGTTTTGTTTTTCAATCATTTGCATGAAGGAAAAAAACGGAGTAAATAAAGATGGACGACGAATTGAAGCGATGAAGCCAAAACGTCTCCGATATGAACGTCTCGATGTCCTGCTGATATATGAATTGGACCAATCGGGAGTCAGGGTCAGCTGTCAATCATGACGTCTCCGCCCCGTTTTTATGTCATCAATAACTAATTAAACCAAACTGATGAGAAACATCCGAGATGAGAACGAGCTGAAACGACAGAAACATCTTTGACAAACATTTAATATGTATTAATTAATATGTATTGTTTAGTTTGGTCCACGTCCCATCTGCTAACATGGAGGAGGCAGCTTAGAACCTATACTGCAGCCGGACACTAGGGGGAGATTAAAATGCTTTGGCTTCACTAGTGGGAGCCGTCGTGGCGTCCATCTTTATTTACAGTCTGTGGTTCGTCAATTTAAAGGAAGTTTACATTACAACCAACTGTGTGTGTGTGTGTGTGTGTGTGTGTGTGTGTGTGCGTGTGCGTGTGTGTGTGTGTGTAGGATCAGCTATAAGACGGCCTACAGACGAGGTGTGAGGACCATGTACAGACGACGCTCTCAGTGCTGCCCAGGATTCTTTGAGAGCGGAGACCTCTGTGTCCGTAAGTTGGGTTTCAACAATTCTATTTTACACGAATATAGAATTAAGCCAATCAGGGTCAGTTATAGGTAGACGACGCCCACCTAGGTGATGACGAAATGCTCGAGTCCCTAAATTACAACACGAACAAACACACGAAGCTTCAGACTCAGAGAGGAAACGTCCCGAGTGGGAGTCAGACTCTTTCTTTCTTTACAACCACTCTGTCAGTTTAGTTAAATATTCGATTTTCGAGCTGATTGAAGAAACTGAACAAACAGCATCAACGATCAGATACGACGATGATTTAAAAACCAAGATAAACGACGTGTTTTTCCTCCTGACTGAAGGAAAACGTCCCTCTTCTCGCTCTCGTCTCGTCTCTTGCGCTCTTTTAAAAGTAAACACATGTTGGGTTTGATCGCTGCGCTGTGTCCTCTCACACGGACCTTTTCTCCAGGATATGAAATATTCCGTCCTCGTGTTTTCCACCGTTGATCAAAACAATCATTTTCCTGTCATCTGCATTGTGATGTTCAAACCTTTTTCTCCTGACACACACACACACACACACACACACACACACACACACACACAGAGGATCCCGGCTGGTTAAAATTGCAGAGCATCTCGTGTGGAGCAGCGATTCAATCTCTGTCGTTATCTTTTCACTTGCACCAGGCAGTTATCTGTATCTGCTGTGAGAGCCGTTAAAAGTCCGATCAATCCGTCTCTGTTACAAAGTCGATGCATTTCGGCTCAAACTTTGACCAAAGAGCTGAAAACCGACAAACACAGACGGCAAAAAGAGGAAAAAGCTCCCGAACACGACCTCAGAGAAGCTGCACAGAACTAATACCAGAGATCTGCAGTGTTCTTACGTCCACGAGACTCCATGTCCCTGTGTTGTTGTACTTTTGTCTTCCTGTGAACGTCTCTGACCAGAGGAGCAGAATCTCTCGTGTTGAGATTTATTTCCTGACGGATCTTTGGCTGCAGAATTTACTCACTGAAACGTTAAAAAAAAAAAAATCTCAGGCCAATATATTTTATTTTGAAGCTTCTGGTGATTTTCCAGTGAAAGAAAATAAAAGCGTCGGACTGAACGGATGAAAGAACAGATGTTTGACACAGACGTGTTTATTAAACTTTTGTCTCTCAGCTCCAGTGGTGGAGGACGTCCTCAGACATTTGACTTATTTCTGGAGTAAAAGTACGAGTAAACAGAAAAGTAGTAAAAGTACCACTTTACTTTTTGAGTTGAATTTAAGTCAGTACTTGGTTTTAAAGGTCCAGTGTGTCAGGTTTATGTGAGAGTTGTTGTTAGAGACTGAGTATAGTTTGTTTCCTCGTTTGTGCTCTAAAGTTTTTACCGTCCCTGCAGACAGATGGAACTCTTACTCTCAGTTGCAGTTGTAGCATCAATGCAGTTCTTTCTCTCTCGTGTCTTTAATTCTGAAGTCTTTGTGCTCGTCTCTCAGAATCCGTCGCACGTCAGAGTGATGAATGAATTCTGTGGGAAATGCTAAAGGAAAGTAAAAACTAAATCCACGGGTTTGTCCTTTTATTCAGATCAGCTTTAATGAGTTCTTCCCTCATGCTCATCACGTTCTTTCACCGAGTTATGGATCCGGGAAAACTTTTAATCTTTTAATCAAGGAGTTTTTTTCTCTGATTTCTCAGAAAACAAATCGTGGTTCTTGATAAAAGATACCGTTTAGAGGACTGACTTTAATTTGTAATTTGGTGCAGATCCAAATCGAAGTCAGATTGTAGGGAGTCTAACTGTGGTTGGTTCTCGGTGCAGCTCTGAGCTCAGATGCTCTCGTGGACTCAGATGAACACATCAGTGTGAACGCTCCTCAGAGGAAAATCTTTTTTTAAGCGGTGACTCAGTTTGTCTCCTCCGTCCGTCGACCTGTGAACAAACACGTGAAGATAAAACAGTGAAAGATTAAACCTGTCAGGAACAAAATCTTATCACACGTGAGAGAAAAATCTCTCCCTGCTCCGTCTTTATCTGGGACCGATTCTCTCCTCGATCAGGCGAGAGAAATCAATTATCCACTCTAGATGGTAAATTCTATAGAGCCGCGTTGCCTTTTCTTATTGTACACAGGAGGTGGATGGGTTTTCCTGGGGGGTGCGGAGGGTAGAGAGGGTGTGCATTGTGCGTCTTTATTCAACATCTGCTTGTAAACAACTTTATTAAATTCCCCCGGGGGGCGGAGACACACTCCATTGTGCCTCACAGAGGCCTTCACGCTCCCATCGGCTGAGTAGTCTGAGCGCTGGAGGCGAACGATGAGACGACGGCCGCCTGCTCCGCTCAGGCTAACGGCCTCGGACGGGTCTTTGTTGTGTGATACGCACAGCTTGAGATAAATAAAAGGTTTCCTGTCCCGGAGAGCGAGCGAGGGGGGAGGGAGGGAGGGAGGGAGGGAGGCTGCTAATCTAATCAGAGGGCTTTCCTCTCTCTGTTTCCTGTGATATCTCAGACTCCATTTTTCATTTCCTGCTCCTCAGTATTCTCTCCGTGTTCAACCTGTAGAACATGTTTGCTGCTTCGTTAAACTCGAGGGACCCGCCCTCCATCGATCGTCTGCTCGGGCTCATGGTTGAATCCGTTTTCTGTTCGTCTCTGGACGTTCTCTCTCGTCACAACGATTTCTCCTCCGCTCGTCTTCATCTTTCATTTTCATCTTCTTCTTCCTGTGATTGGTCCAAATGTCCAACAAAGTGTTTTCACTCTGGTTCAGTTTGATCCAGACCCAGAACTCTTCTGGTCTGAAGAACCTGTTCACACCTGAAGTTCAGCTTCAGACTGAGTCTGAAACAAACCAGGTGTGAACGAGTCCTGAGACTAAATCAGCAGCTGCTGATCAAAAATACGACTTTAAAACCAATTATATCATATAATTCATATTTTGTTAAATTCTCAGAGAAAGTTGTTTGTGGGCGACTGATGGAAAATGCATGTTACTGCACCAAGTTAGATTCTGTTCAGAAAGTTTATTTCGTATTCAGTCACTTCCCTGATTTATATTTAACAGATTTATTCTTCAGAAAATCTAAACTTCTTTCTCTGTTTGTAACAAGAACTATTTCTCTGGGTGTTGAGATCAGTTGATGACATCAGTGGACAAAGACGTCAGGTGTGGACATTCA